AAAAGCACCCATATAATCATTCAGCGAAAATGTGTTTTCTACACTAACACCATGGTCTAGTAACCACAGCAGGGTTGGACTTGATGACCTTGGAGGTCTTTTCCAACCCAGTTGAATCTATGATTCTATGCTCCCACTTTGTACAAAACAAAAGAGGTTATTTCTCCTTTCTTTCCACTGACTGTTAGTGTTACTCACCTTCCTATTTCCCAAGCTTGCATTTCCATTTTTACATATGTTAGATACATCCTGTGTTTTACTACAGTTTTTGAGACGACATTCTTCAAGAATCACATATGTCTCCAGGAAAAAACATCTCATTACAGGTTCTTGGCATTCTTCCTGTAAAAAAATGCAGCCCCACAGCAACAGGTTATGGAAAACTCTCTTCAGGAATGAATTCATGTAAACTGCAATTTCTTTGTCACTTTTTTCCCTCCCTCAAATTCCAAATGAATACCAACATTATTTTAGCAGTGTTTGCTTTGATGAGATTAGTTTGGATCACAGAATCCCAGAATAGTTTGGGTTGGAAGGGACCTTAAAGATGCTCTAGTTCCAACCCCTATGGAAAGGGATTCCTGCCCCTGGACCAGGTTGCTCAGAGTCCCATCCAGCCCAGCCTCAATCATCCCTTTTAGCTGATTAATTTTAACAGCAGGTGATGCAGTGAAAATAATTCATACCTGCTTACATAATTTAGCATAAGTACTTTAACTAGCAGAACTGTTTCTTCCAAGGCAAATGATTTCATTTTAGAAACTTTTACCAAATTCGACCAAGGCTGCTCTAGGGGGAAGCTGCTAGTAAAGAAATGAAGTCTCCATATCAGAGCAGCTGTGGCCAAACATGAAGTTTACTTACATCCTCATCTGTGTTGGCAGTATACAAGCTGACATCGATATCCTAAAAGAGAAAGAGGGTTGGAGTTAAGAACATTAGCTAACAGAGTTAGAGATAATAAAGCTAACTCTTCAAGACATGGATTAGCTCCAAGTTCAAGGGCAAATCCACCCTGGTCCTAGTCAGGTAATAACCTGCAGAATGGGCCTCACTGTGAGGAAGACAGTCAGAACTGAGCCACACACTGCTTTGTTCCAAAGAGCTAACTCTCCAGCCACTGTCCCTTCTTTTAGGAACAGTGAGAAAGAAAATAACGTTTCATTCTAGAGTCTGCAGCATTTGGTGAATCCCACTCCCCTTTAACCTTCTGCTCCTCTGTTCCCACCCACGAAACAGCAAACACCATCCCTTTTCCTGCTCCCTCTCACTGACACTTCTTAGCTGAGTGCACTGCTAAACATCTGATTAAGTCTCCTCTGACTCTGTGAAATGCTGATTTTTTATGAACTTACATCAGATGTCTTGATCTTCTCCAAATCCTTCAGAACTTCTGCCCACTTGCAATGTCCTGCCTCTGTCTTTGGTACATAGGCACTGGGACAGAAGAAACCAGTGACCATTAGGCTAAACAGTAGGTATATGGATGTTTATGCTGAGAAAAAGAGTCAGCAATTACAAGACACTATAGGTCCATTGTTGGCAAGCATATCTAGATGTGGTGTATGTGTGGGGATGCACATTTGACAATCATATAGACACAGAAAAACTGTGTGTGAAGTCACACACTGCAAACACTGTTTGTAAGGTCAGATTTATAGAATGGAAAGTAAAGGAAAAGTTCAATCACTTATTGCAAAATACCTAAAATCCTTTTAAAGCATAACAGTAAAATTCCACTCTCTGAAGTGACAAGTGACAGCTGCAACAATCAAAGCAAACCATTTGTATTTACTGGCTAATGAGCATTGATTTTGTAATTACCACAAGAAGAAGATGATCCCATTCTTTAAAAGGCAGACGAAGTCACTGTGCAGAAGAAGGCACAGCAGGCAAATACCTTTCAGGTGAGATTTCTGAAAGACACAACCAAAGCAGCACCTTGTCACAATCTGCACCGAATTTCCCTTCAGTGCTGACACAACTAACCCATTTGCCAAACATCAAATCCAGACTAGACTACCTGTTGGGGAGACCAACTGGTTGTAGCTTGCAGAAATATATAACCACTTTACAAAAGAGTCCCTCAGCAGCTTCCCTGGAGCCCCTTCAGAGCCTGCAGGTGCTCTGAGGTCTCCACACAACCTTCTCTTCTCCAGGCTGAACAATGAGTATTAAACCCAAAATATTAAGCATATATCAATGTATATTTTCCAGATGTACAGGAATGTAATGAAAAAGAAAATTAACTGCTTGGCTATGGCCAAAAGAGCTAAATCACTTTGTTGTAGTATGACACAAAGGCTTTAACCTTTTCACAGGAAATGCTGTTGAGCTGAAGTTGTGTTATTTCTTTGGGTTTTGGTTTTGTTAAATCTGCATAATGACTGGCTTGATGCAATTTGCCAATTCTTGCACAATATCCTATTTTGGTTTGGGGGTTTTTAGTAGTAGTATTGAATTGAAGTTTAAACATAGCTTTATGGGGAAACTCCAAGTACACCCAAACCAATTTTAACTCTGATTAGTGGATGCAGCTAAAAAAACCCCACGTTTTAATCCCATGTCTTAACAAACTTATTTAAAGTGCATTAGAAACATTTCACAATAGCTAAACATTTTTGTCATTCCACAAGCCAATTTTTGTCAAATGAGATGAAGTGGCAGCAAATTAAGACAGGGAAGAGTTATGAGGGATCCATAAGCACTTCCCAGCACTCTGATTTATTATTAGTGTTATGGGGCCTTAAAAAGCTGATCTGAGAGGGAGCCCAAACACACATTATCAAATTTATGCTGTAGAACAAAGTGTTCAAGGTGAAGAAGATAATTTGTTATAGTACCTACTGGATAAGGGGCCAGAGTTATCATTAATTTGCCATTGGTCTCCTCCTGGTTTTTGTAATTGCTCACTGTGATGACATAGGAACATTCTGTTCTTATTGATTATTGCTGTTGTCTGCATCTTTGGTTATCTTCAGTATGGTAGGGAACTGTTTTATTGTCCTGGAGTAATAATTGCTGATGTGAAAGAAATGGTTAGTCTTTAGAAGTCACAGAAAACATGTGCTGATGGCAAGATAGGTGAAGAGTTTGCTCCATGCATACTCAAAAGGGAACTGTTCACAGAAAAGGAGGCTCTTAATGCCAACCAGATCCCCCAACACATTCCTGCCAACAATTCAGGGCTGTTTGCTGCTTGGATTTCTTCATTATTTCACCCAAACAATTATCCAACATCAGAAGCTTTGTCAGCTCACTCAGAAGCTTTGGAAACTCATTCTCCTGCCTTGAACACCCAACGCTGGAACGTAAAAATTTGGACAGTGTCTGTTTTTTATTTCTTACCCTGTTTAATCATTAACCAATTCCTCTCTGTCTTCACCATGTCTCTGGTCCTTCCCCTGGTGAACGCTGGACACGGGAGCAGTTCACATTTATGTGCATACCTACTTTTATCTGTGGCTTGTGTCCTGGTAACCTGCTGCTCTAAGGATTGAGGCCTTTATAGGTGAATTTATGCTCTTCCAAAAAAGCATTTGTGGTTTGCACAACAATGTTTGGTTTTTATAATAAAGTTGAAACGAAGCAGTTTATGAGCAGTTCCCACCAAGTGAGAGCTGAGACACGGCAGTACTGGGTTCTCATTACAGAATCAAACATATAAGCAAATGACAAAACTTTTCTTTACCAAGGCAAAAACAGTTGATGGTTTGGCTGTCACAGAAACAATAATCTGTTAGTCAGAAGAAAATCTTCACAGCTCTTTACAGTACTGAAGTTATGTGTGAAGGAAAGTACTGAAAGCTAAAATTTCATGAGTTTGCCTATATATATATATATATAT